TGCGATGATCCAGCCGCTTATGCGGCTCCGCTTCTGCGGTTCCCAAGCCGCAGAAGCGAAAATACCAGAAGATGAAAAGAACCAGCTGCTGCAACACTTCAAATATCTCCCCGTTAACCACCCGAAATCATCCCGAGGCCCTCTGGACCTCAACCAAAAGCACGAATACCACCTAATACCTTATTCAAACTTGTACCAATCCTTAAAACACCTAAAACAACACCGGAAGTCCGATTAAATCAAAGATTCAAGCCTAAGAACTTCAAATTCCAACAAAACACACTTTCGATCAAAAACCTAACCAAACCTCGACCGAATGACCTGAAATTTTGCACACCCATCCCACATGACATGACGGAGCTACTGCAACTTCCGAAATTCCAATCCGACCCTCGGATCAAAAACTCACTATCGGACCGGAAACTTCAAAAATTCAACTTCGGCATTTCAAGCCTAAATGAGCTACGAGCCTCCAAAATACATTCCGAACACGCTCCCAACCCCGAAATCACCTAACGGAGCTAACGGAACCATCGGATTTCCATTCCGAGGTCGTCTTCACACTGTTCCGATCTCGGACCATTTTTTCAATTCTTAAGCTCTCATTTAGGGACTAAGTGTCCCAAAACACTCCGAATCCCAACACCGAACGTCCCGACAAACCAAAATAGCAGAAATGAACTTAGGGGAAGCAGTTAATGGGGGATCGGGGCGTAAATTCCAAAAACAACCGGCCGGGTCGTTACAACTAGATATTGGGTATCACAAGGCGTGGCGTGCTATTCAACTTGCTTTCGCTTTAATAAGAGGAACTCCCGAAGAGAATTATGAATTATTGTCTTCATACTTGTATATGATGAGAAGTAAAAACCCTGGAACTTATACTAACATAAATATAGACAACGACAACAGGTAAATCAAAAAAAAAGTTTATTAGTATTAGTATTCAACATGCTGTCTTTAACCAGTTAAGTATTGAGTTGTAACCAGAAGTTCAGGACTGGTTGTCCTTAACTTTTGAACTTGTAATTCAAAGTTAAGGACTGCCTGTCCTTAGGTTTTGAACTTTGAACTCAAAGTTAAGGACCGCATGTCCTTAACTTTATAACTTGAAACTCTAAGTTAAGGACTGACTGTCCTTAACTTTTAACCTTGTAATCTGAAGTTCAGGATTACCTGTCCTTAACTTCTGTTAACCTTGTTTATATTGTATTTTCAGGTTTCTTAATATGTTTTATGCATATGGATAATCAATAGCCGGTTGGAATCATTGTAGACCAGTGATTGCTGTTGATGCAACTTTTTTGAAGTCAAAATTTCGTGGTGTTTTAATGATTTCAGTTTCAAAGGATGCAAATAACCAAATTTTTCCACTAGCCTTTGGAATAGCAGAATCTGAAAATAACAATTCCTATGAGTGGTACTTTAGTCAGCTTCGCAATGCAATTGGGAGCCGTGAGAATTTAATTTTTTTATCAGACGGGCATCAAGCTATTGCATATGGCATAGCAAAGGTATATCCTGAAAGCCATCATGGGATTTGCATTTATCATTTGGAGCAGAACCTAAAGCTAAGGAAGGTGAAAAGCGAGGTCATAAAACTTTTCCAAAGTGCTGCAAGAGTATACAGGCGCAAAAAATTTGATCTATACATGTCAGATATAGCAAAAGTAGATAAGAAGACTTATGACTACTTGATGGAAGAACCACCAGAAAGGTGGGCACGTTCTTGTAGTCCACGACGAAGATATGACATGCTCACAACAAACATAGTTGAGTCAATGAATTCTGTCCTATTAGAAGCAAGGGAGCTGCCTATATTAAGAATGATGGATTTCATTCAAGTGAAGCTACAATGTTGGTTTTATGAAAGAAGAAATGAAGCAGAAGGAACTTTTTATGATGTTTCTTGTTGGGTAGAGGAGGAATTGAAGAAAAAAATAGATTTAACATTTACTTTGAATGTAAGTATTATGTTCTATGTTTAGCTTATGATTTTAATATAATTTAACATAATGTACTAACTTATAATTTTTCAACATTGAAGGTCTTCCCTGTTGATTCATGGCGTTCTAGAGTTGAAGAAGAAGGAATAACTTTCTTGGTGGACTTAAACAAAAGAACATGTGATTGTTTTCAGTTT